CAGAGCCCCTTTAAAGGAACATGTTACCCTCAAATCGAAAAAGTGTTGCAGGGCCCCTTTAAAGGAACATGTTACCCTCAAATCAATTCTTCATTTTATTACGCTTGTTATGATGGCTTTTATGATCCAAGTATATTAAATTTTAAAATGCTAAGTATCTTACCGGTTATCGCTCGCATCTTACCGAAACTACTACTCAAGGTTCTTTGGACTTCCTTTGAACGAAAAAAAAAAAAGGCATTTGCATAGAGCCCCTATTTCAATTCAAAAGAAAAATTGTGCAGGTTAGTTAGCTCATGAAAAATATTCCATTTTTTTTATTTGTCATACATACCATTCAAATTCGATTCGGAATTATTCGATCAAAATCACTGTTTGCTTTGAATTCGCTTTGAACCTAAAATTCACTATTAGCACAAGCCTATTAAACGTGCCTGTTGTAGGTGACGATCCGCTACAGATAAGCTCTCGGGGCCTGTATTTCTTTATATTGAATTTTCCATATACCGAACTAATTTATAATCTCCTTCGAGTTCGATATATCCATGTTCAACTGTATATGCATGACGCTTATTTGCATAAGAATATAGGCATGAGGTATACATGCATGTAGGCATGATGCCTATATACATAAGGACGAGGCATATAAGCATATAGGTATAACACCTATATGCATAAGCATTAAAATGTAGACACATCCTGGCCAGTGACAAAGGTGCCAGCATGACTTATTGTGATTAGCACCATAACTTGAGAGTATCCGCATTGTAGCCCACATAACACAGTCCACTCTTAATGCCCGTTACATAATTTTACCAGTCAAACTAAACACATTATGCCCCGTTTGCCGCAGCTGCCTGCTTATGGGAGGGAGACTGCTGAAAGTGTATGTCACCTACAGAAACCTCCTTGTGCAAACACTATCATGATAAGCATGCACACACAGCGCAGCAGCTGTACACTTACAACGTGAGATTAGTAGGTGCAATACTGCACACAACTGGCTAGAGACGATCGGTTCCACGTGGCAGCAAGTGCTAGCGTTCATATAGTTTAAAAGCTTTTTATATCGGCTTATATGCTTTAAATATAGCAAATTTTAAAACTGACACATTTTATAGGCTATCACATGCATTCCACCGGAAGTCGAATTCTGCTGCTATGCAAAGGTGTTTCAACTTCTTTGAATTGAAAAAAATGGCATTTGTGCAAGCCTTGTATCAATTTTTTTATAAAGTACTGTGCTGGCAAGTTCTCTCAGCAGCAGACTGCTCTACAAATGTGCCTACATGCATTAGGAGAAGCCGTACATGTTTTCCGCTTAGCCACCAAGTTTCCTGTCAGTTTCGAAATGCTCCTTGGTATCGTCAGAGTACGTCCTTCAATACTTTTATTGGTCCTTTTTTTTTCTTTCATCTACTGCAGTTTGGTGTGCTGACTAGTGAGATCTTAAGCACCTGGGCCATTATAAGAACCTGTGAGGTTATCTTCACTGTAGAAATATAGGAACCCGAACCTAAATTTTCGATATAATGAAGCTTGCCATTGAAGGTGCTGCCTTTTCTGGTTAAGGTTTTCTGTACTACTGTAGTGAATGCAGACAAAGACATGCTGAAGGCACATGGACATACAGTGTAACAAAAATATTCTGTAAATGAACAAGCCTAACACTAACTTTACTGAATGATTATTCCTGTTTTGCATTTTTAAGGTGAGCGTCTAGTAGGCATCAAACTCTGCCCAGGCGTCGCTGCAAAAAATGCCACCACCAGCGCCCCCAATGCCGCGCCGGCCATAAATGGGTAGTGCAAAGCGAATGTTCACAGGCCTTCTTCTTTCGTTGGTGTTGAGGTGTAGTTTTCTGAAAATCAAAGACCTCGCAAGCTTCTTCCTCCAATCCAACTTCGCTGCATAAAAGTATGAAGCTCATCAAAACGAACTGCGAATACAATGCAAAAGATGCTTCAGTTATTTTTGACGTGCTGCAACTAGCAATTCAAGTGCAAGAGAGCATCGCATATGACATCAAGTTCGAGGCAAGCACTCCAATGCTCATTCTGTAATGCCTAAGTGCATTAAAATTGGGCACTAACATGATGCCAATGCAACGAAGTGCATAGATGAACAATCTATCTTACGATCAGTGGTACGAAGCTCCCTTTATCTGGCATGATCCTGGTGATTACTGCCTTTCCAGTTGCACTCTCCATCGATCTAACACTTCCTATGTGTTGAACTATATTATTATGCATACTACAGTCGAATCTCGATAACTAAAATTCAAAGGGGCCCAAAGATTCGTTCGAATTAATGAAAGCTAAATGAACGAAGGGCTCACCATGCAGTAGTGCATGTACGTTGAGCTAACACACGAGGGGGAAGTTTCAAAAGACTTACATTTATACACAAATCACAGGTCATCCATCATTAATTGAAGTAATCGGTGATGCGCGTCTGCACACGTTTGCCTTGCAGCAAGTCAATCAATTTCAGACGCAGCTTGCAAAGCATTTCTACTTTGGCTTCAGCATTCTCTTGGCAAGAGAAGTTGCGCACAGCAATTTCCAGCGCCGACACTCTCTAGAGACAATGACAACAATGAGTCCGACTGCGTCTCCACTACTGCCACAGAGCACCTGCTACTACACTCTGCGCCGTAGCCACGGCGTGGGCAGAACGTGAGAAGAAAGTAGGAGCGTCTCCACGCGGGGAGAAGCAGATCGGCATTTGAGAGATAACCAAATACTCCATGGCAGCTTTTTTTTTTTTTTTTGCTCTCTTCGCGTGCGTCATTGAAAGAAGGGTCTACGTGGCAGGGACAGGAAGGGGAAGCGTGGTGCAAGTGCATCGCAGATCGGCATTTCAGAGAGACTAAACATTCCACCGCAGCCTTTTTTCCCTTTTCTTTCCTTCGCGCACAGCGTTGAGAAGTCGGAGGTGCCGCCGTGGATTAAGCGTGGTGCTGAAAGCATTTTCGGAGCGCAATATGTTCAAATTAACCATCGCAAATGCATGCGCGTTCGAATTACAAGGCGTTTTCACCCATTGCAATACACATAGCTTTCATGGGACCTCAGTGTGAGTTTGAATTAACCGGAAGTTCGAAATAAGCATGTTCGAATTAATCAGATTCGACTGTAGAATGTTCTGTTGATGGTTGTCTTCCGTTTGTGTGTACTCCAAATAGGAATACAAGCATGTACATTTTTTTGGTTTACAACGAAAAACAAAAACGAGGCCTCCAAAAAACAAAAACGAGCTTGGGCGATTGCGGAGACAAAGGGCAAAAAAAAAAACCTGATTGTGGTTGTGAATATTTTGAAATTTATCTGTATGATGTACGTGTCTGAATTTCCTAGTTGAAGCCGGAACTTAGAGCCTTCAAAGCCCTACGCGCGTAATGCTGTGTGGTGGCTACAACTTAAGGTTATCCATGGTTATGGCATGCGTGACGTTTAACGTGCACGCCTCACCAGTATACCGTTGCACGGCGCGCATTGCGGTCAGAGGCTCTGTTAGGCTAGTTACCACAGTTTTCTGTGAAGCTACTTCAAACAATAACAGAAGACCTACGTTACCACACTTTTTCATGAGACTGACTGTGGAGGACACGAGTAATTTGCTTACCCAACACGTTTGCAACGGCTCGTATCCAGCTCTCTCGCCGTTCTGCTTCGCGAAAGTTGTAGAAGTCACTAAACTGGAGTACTTTAAGTTTGTGGCAATTCACAATGCAACAGTAGGATTGACTGGCAGTCTTTTTTACGTACAGCGTGGAGCTATTGTGTCTGCTCTTGTTTTCGTCGTCGTTCTGGCACGGGAACCAGCAAGCACTTAATGACGGTTCGATGACGCGTCCGACTAGCAGAGACAAATTTGTAGCTCTTTTTCCAAGTGTTTAAAGCGCAAATACACGTAATATTTAGCTCAATCGTTGTTTCACACCCTGTAGTTTCACCTGCTTGCACAGCAAACTGTGCAAGGAAGTCGGGCTTTGCACTACACAAAACTGCGACGACAGATGGCGCTGCATGTCTGCAAAATTCCAGAGCCCGATGTGTATGCCTGGGCCTACTGCAAGCCCTGCAATGCGTGGCTCATACACCTTCATTTACATATTTATTCATATGACTTTGAAAGAAAACTTTTTTAAGTGCGAGTACACTATTTTCGCTTAGGTTTCAAAACAAGACTAAACCTTACATTCCTAATTGTACAGTAAAGTGTTGCAATGATTTGCATTCAGAAAGTTCAAGTGCAACCGCATATTGAAATAGACAATTCAGCTGCCAAAAACAAGTGGAAAGATTCGCAAGTGACAGGCACAGAGAAATGTTTGCACATTGCTGAAAAGCACGGCTCAAAAGATGTACCTTGAGCATTTGAAGCGGGAACGGTGCAGCTGAAGGTGCTAAATTGTCTTAAGTTGTTATAAAAATGAAAAAGAGCCGGTCAACACAGAACTGGCCGGCACAATGTACGCCACCAAAACATCTCGTATTTATCTACTTGGTTAGCTGTTCTCTACAGTTGACGAGCTTGGAACCACTTTCAGCTTATGTATTTACACAATTGTACGTTGCACTGGAACGTAGATCGACCCCCCCTTGAATTGCACCACAGAAAAAAAAGGAGCATGAGCATATTTCATAAAAAATTTATTTACGATGTCTCTGAGAAAAACAACCCAATTCCACCATGCCAAGGTGACTTCACTGCAAGTAGTTAAAAGCTGTGCAGAAAAGCTAGCTTTGCAAGACTACGAGGGGATTATTTTCAGAAAGACTTCACAACCGAAACCATGTTTTCATTCTAGGTTGACCCCCCCAACTTCTAAATATTAAATTAAGACAAAAGGGTCGACCTAAATAGTGTAAATACGGTATTCTCATTGCATCAGCGCAACTACGTATTTTCATGAGGTAAAAACGTGACAAGAAACAGCAGTACTGTTTGGCCTGCAAAACACTTGAGGAAGTACAATCTGACTGGTGCCGTACCTGATCGTCGCTGACCTCGACGCATCGAATGGAGAACGGTGGCTCCAAGTGGGCAAAGCCCAAAAGGGGAGGCTTCGAGCAGCTTGTCACAAACTGTGTTGAGAGAAAAAAACAATTTACGTCACAATTAACGCAATACAGTTTAAAGCGTGAAATATTGTCCCTCATGCTTTCTATGGCTCGACTTGTTGGATTTATTTAGTTGAGTCTAACACAGAAACGAGCTAATTTTCTTTCGTATCATGATGGGCATAAGCTACCCCTAACAGAGTTTTGAAATAGTGACGTTGTCGTTAAAGAGCAGTTTAAAGATTGCAAAGCAGATATGATATTTTGCCACACTTGTGGTTGAAAGGTGTTGTTTGGCGTGCACATTTTAAGTGAAAGTACCATAGTTTCATTAATTACATCAGTATTTTTTTACGTCAAGGAACTACTGAAGCTTTAGACTAGGTATCTTACTATTCCAGACTAGTGTGGTGTTTTCCTAAGGAATACCTCCTATCAAAGACATGGCGAAGCCAATCCCACCTTCAGAAACAGGTGATGTTCTTCAGATGTGAAGTCACGCTCAAGAATGTCCCATAGCCAGTTTACCAGCCGGTGGTTGTTATGGAAGCCCCCAAAGTACTTGGTGTGCCTCCTGGGATGACAGGCAAAAAAGAAAGAAAAAAAAAAGAGCAATCAAAACATGCCACTAAGCGAACTCCAGCTGTATTGCTTTTTCAATATGTTCACATTGTCCAAAAATGTGACACGTCTAGTGGCATGCGACAAAATGCCAATATTTTGACCACTGTGACCACAGATCCCGGAGGCCGCATCATGGCACTTTCATTCTCACTATTAGATGGCACCGCTCTCTTTAACAGTGATGAGACTTCTCTGCCTTTACTTTTGGCACCACCTGATCATGACATAAAAAAAGATCTATCCAGTAGCCCCTGTGTTAAGAGGCAGACTGGATCTTTGCGACCAAAAAGTGACAAAAAATTCATTCTTTAAAATTGACATATTTGGTTTTTGAAAGTATTTTTCTATCCCTGTGCAAATTTTAACAGACCAGGAAGTGGTAATTTTTTTATAATGTCATTCTCACTGTCCAAATTCTTGGTGCTGTTAACATGCAGAACTTGCAAAAAAATGGGGAACCGACTTCGAGGCTTCTCTATATTTGGCCCCCGTCTGTGTTCGAAGCTCTGGTACGAATTTATGAGCACCTTTATGAGGATTGCAAAACATGCACACCATGATTGTTACTTTTTGAGGAAGCTGTGTGTTTTCAGTTTTTTCCATTTTTCTCGAAAAAGTAAATTTACGACTGTTCAATTTTGAGGCCTCAATATCTCTGCAGCTAGGACAGGTACAACAATAATTATTTTTGCAATGGAAACCTGTATTTGTGTATAATGTAAGTATGGGTGTAGAATTTAGAGCTAAAGCCTTTTCAATTAATTACTCATCAAAATTATAATACGATTCCAACTATTTTTGAAAATTGATAGTTCACTTTGCTGTAAAATAACAAAGAAAGGCCTAAAAATGAAAAGCTCTTGCAAACTTTTGCTCTACAGTCATTAGCCTATGTTGGCTTACTTTAAGTATCACTTTTCATTAAGCACTTTTTTTTTCTATGACGGCCTCAAACAATAAGGGGTGAACTTAAGTTATCTCAGGAACAAGATGAATTACAAGAAAACTAATTCAGTATTTTAAATCGGCAGAAAAAACTGCATTATTCTGTGCAGTTTGATCAAGATCACTGAAGAAATAAACAAAAAAATGTCTAAGACCAGTCTGCCCTCTTAAGAGTAATGTAAAAAAAGAACTGATGGCGGTTTCCAAACATTAAAAAAGGAGGCATCTCTTTGGGGAAAAATTGCATGCTCTCACCTATACCCCATGAATAATGCTGAATTAATTTTCTAACAAAGCTAACACGCTTTGTACACTGTTCTATTGTTTACAAAACCAAGAGTAAAATGATTTCAGCTTCTACTTTCCGAAACAAGGTTCCAAACTTGGCAGGTGATGAGAGGAACACAAGTTAGCTGACAGTAAGAACCAGCTTAGTCGTTCTTGAAGAATGAGAAAATTCGTACTTACTCTACGGTCCTGGCAAGCATATTCATTACTTAACGGCATCAACCTCTCAATAATTCGGTTATATTTGCACACAACTCGGTTAATCCGGACAATCCCTGGAGTGCACCAGGAGAGTTAATACATACGACATTCGCATCATACCGAAACAAGGCAATGCAGTCCATATCCCCACCGAAATTGGGAAAAAGCGAAAATTTCCCGACAGTTAGGATACTGTTCAGAGTGAATTCCGAGCATAGCTTCGTGTTTGGGCAAGGCAAACTTTGTTTGAAGTTTTCACCATCTACAAAGTAATCATATATCAAATATCACTACATCATAAATCATAAGTTTTGTGAAGTGGGACAGCTTCCAGTGTGCTATTATCAACCTTTCAGTGAAAGAGAGATGTACCCACTGCACATCTGTAAAGTATTACATGCGCTTTTTTGTTGCTGCATCATGTGACTGACGACGAAAAATTATGCCCGAGAACTCTGTGGAGGGTAGGAAGCATTAGAAGGGCCATGACACAATCACCCAACAATTTGTGGTTTTCAGTGAAAACCAGAAGTAGAGAGTCTATTATTCCAATATGGATATGAGAAGTTGGCCACGAAAGAATATTTCAGTGCAAAACAGGCCCTATAAGTCATCGGCGATAAATTCCACCCACAGCTGGCAACCACTATATATCGATTGCCTCTGTGATGTCACGTGCAGCAAACAGCGGTGTCGTGGTCTTCTACCAGTTTCAACTGCTGTAAATCATTCAATTTCAGTGCCAAGCAGAATAAAGTTCCAATGTGTAAACTTGCACGAATATTACAAATATTCAAATACTCAAACGAATAATGCAGTATTTGAATTTGCTTCGAATCAAATCTGAATTATTGAAAAATTCAAATTATTCAAGAAGAACGAATAAATGCATATAGTTGGCATGTAACACCCTGTAAAGATAGCTTTACTGCAGTAAGCGAATGCTAAGCTATGAAAACACGTACCCCCCCCCCCCCCCCAAAAAAAAAAAAAATCCGCACTGCTGTAATGTTTCTCTTCAAGGTTAAATGAAGATAATACTCTCAAGTTGATTCATTCTTCTTTTTTTTTTTTTTTTTCAGCTGAAAAGCTCGTCATACTTACTTATATATAATAGCGAATTTTAACGCAACATATTTTATACGCTACCACTTGCACTCTATCGAAAGTCAAATCCTGCTACTATTCAATGTTGCTTCCACTTCTTTTGTTGTGAAAAAATGGCATTTGCACAAGCCTTGTTTCAATTTTCAAAAAATATTGTGCACGTCAGTTAGGCCATGACAAATATGTCCAGTTTTCTTTATAATATACAATATACACACTATTCAAATACGATTCAAAATTATACGACCAAATTCACCAATTGCTTCGAATTCACCTCGAAACTAAAATTTACTACCGTATTTACTTGCGCAATCCTCGCACTCGCACAATTCTCGGACCCCCCACATCGGCCAACAAAAATACGATATCTTTTTTTTTTTTTCCTCGAGTAATTATCGCACCCCCGAAAACTGCTGCAATAATGTCATCTGCTCTTTCCAGCCACTGATGATGATAGCGTACGTCATCTAGCGTCATCTCTTAAGCATCAAGCGTACTATTGCACAGATTTAATCCAACTCAAGCGAAGCCGAAGTGGCCAGTGCGCGTTGCGGAGTGTTTTGTATGTTGCGTCGGTAACCTTGTCAAGTTATGAGGCGATACTGAAGCTGTACGGCTTCTTTCAAGTTGCAAGTGATAGATAATGCACTAAAGAAGGGCAACAGGGCCGCCGGTAGGCCCTTGGGATTGATGGTAAACTATTTCTTAAGAAGGAAACTGCGGACAATTCTGTTAAATAGCCATCAGCCCAATACTGACATCCCACGCTTACCTTTTGAGGGCTCCCGTTGAGCGACGAACACTACCGCTACGCTCGCAACGTCCGCGAGCTTTGCGTATGGTATTCTAATTCTCGACTATTTGCTTCCACTTTTTGTGTCTCAATTTAATCTTGTCTCGCGTTGAACCTCTGCTTTTATTGTTGAGGTAAGTTTTAATTAGTACTTCTCAAAGCTTGCTGCTAGTTGTTGGTGTGAGAATCCCAATTTGTGGCCACTTCGTTTTCTTTTTCGCTCTGTACGTTTTCGTAGAAAGTTTTCCCCGCGCAAATCTCGCACCCCCCAACTTTTCATCGGTTTTCCGAAAAAAAAAAAGTGCGAGGATTATGCGAGTAAATACGGTATTCACACTAGCCTACATGTATCTCGATTTCAGGTGCTGTTGACCGCAGAAGAATATCTTACGCCAAAATGCAGACGCTTGCGCGGCCAACTGCTAGTTATGTCCCGGCTCGCGAGTGCGCTTGTGTCGCCAGACTCTCAAAGCCGCTCGCAAATTTGTGAAAATGTTCAATTATTAATGAAGTGCGTGACCAAACACGCAAAAATTTCGGCAGCTTATTTGCGATTGCTCGAGGATAAACCCAGATAACACACACAGATTTTGATCAAAAATTGGGTGTCATGGCCCCTTTAAACCACACACTCATTGCGCAATTAGCATTGTGTGATTACTGGTAGCTGTTTTACTTCCCTGCTATACAATACTACATAGGTCAGTGGTTCTCAGCCATGGATGTGTCGGGGACCCCTTGTGGACTGGTGGAAGTGATGGGAGACCCCTTGAAGACGAGAGAGGGGGGTAACGTAGATAGATTAACAAATTTGGAGCGTGAAACAGGTGCATTTTATTGCCACTAGAAAGATCAAACAAACGTGCCACTTCAATTGGGACAGTTCATTCATACGTGGCACAGTCGCGCTTAAACCGAGCTACATATGTAAAAAATTTGAAAATGTAAAAAAAAAAGCGGGCGAAGGTTTCGCGTATCTCAGAAATGACTTCGCGGACCCCCATTTGAGATCCACTGACATATAGGTTCACGCAACTTCTCGCCTGACATGCCCCTGCTTTTCTTCCATCTCCTATTCCTTCCTTCTTTCCTCACCTGACATGATACCTGCATGGGATCTTTCACAAACAAGTTTCAAGCACTAGCGTGGCTCTATTTCATAATACTCGACTGCCACACAGAGTTCAAATCCCATTTGACCTGGGTATTTTTTGCCATTTTGATTTTTCACCTCTATTCATTACTTCATCATATCTGTCAGCTGCACACCAGATGGCAACAGTGATGACATTGCTCGACATAGCAACGGGCACCCCAAGAGCTGTACTCTAATGTGATACAGTGGAACTTCGATTATACGTCCCCCGGTCCTGCGACGACCAGCGTTTTACGACGAATTGGCTTGGTCCCGGCAAACCCCCCATAGAAATAATGTATTGAAAACTTCAATTCTACAACGAAATTTTACGCCGGCCCCGCCTCGAACGACGCTTAGCTGGACTGTCCGAGAAAAAAAAAAAAACCTACGATGACGCATGCCGGCTGCCACGCAAGCACACTGCGGCCAGATGAAAAAAAGTCGGGAAACCGAGGAACCGAGTTCGTTCCTCCGCACG